ATCAGCTGGTTTTGGTTGTCAGCAGCAAACTGGTTGATCCACTCTAATGCCCCTTTTCCACCGTCACAGAGCGGATCAGATCAGTTCGGGTTGGTTCAGATCGGTTCGGGTCTGTTGTGTTTCCATGTACATTTCTGGACCGGCTCTGTAGGCGGGGACTAGAATCCAACTCGTCTTACCACCTGGTGGCGGTAGTGCTCCCTTAAGCTACTTACTAGCCACCACTAAACGTATTAGAAGAAGAACACCCTGAAGGTTTTGTCACACGATGTTGTGGAAAAGATGTCATGCTCTAATGGAGTACCTCATGAGCTGTAACTTATAAACCTGATTCATAATCCTACCTTACTGCCTTCCCTGCTGCTTTAAACCCATGTGTTTTTCATTTTAGTATAGATTTTTACAATAAAGTTGTATTAAAAATATCTTCACTTTTATTATTTGCAGATATGCACAAGGTTCATGTTAAAATTGCAAAACTTCACACTGTGCTGTAATCTTTGAAACTGCTTTAACAATAAGATACAGACTTGAAAACAATTAGATTAAATTTTGTCCTTGAATTTTAAAGATTTGTCTTTCATTAAATTAAAACATAAATTTATTACTTATTAATCTAAAAAAGTTAAGTCTGGTCCTCTGGACATTCAAAAAACAAAACTAACAAAAAACATTTAGTTTATTTATTATGAACTGTATTGTTTGTTTTGTGAATGTCCAGAGGACCAGACTTAACTTTTTAGATTTTTCTGCCTGGATTATTGAGCAGCATCAGGATATTAATTAATAAATAGTCAGTTGGTCTGAAAACACCATGGGGTCCTAGACGAGTTGAAGAGGAGGTTGTTGATGTCTGTGCCTCCCTGGTGAAGATGCTGCTCCCACAACCCTGAAGCAGAAGAGGATGGATGGATGGATGGATGATGGATGGTGAAGGAGGAGACCATCAAACAGCAGGAGTGGTCAGTTCAGTTGAACTCCTGCCTGTTTGCTTCAGATCAGCTGTTCAAATTTCTGCAGGTTCAAATAAAAGGTGCACCAGGACTTTCAGCTGAATCTCTCGGGCCACAGTTGTACGGACGATAAATGATAACTGCTAAAAGATAACTGCTAAAAGATAACTGATGACTGATAACTGATAACTGATGACTGATAACTGATAACTGATGACTGATAACTGATAACTGTCCTTTTTGAATTTTTGACTGTTTTTGTCTCACTTCATCCTAGAACCAAAAAATTATAACATAATAACAGTTGAGCAGATTCTAGTAATCTTTTCTTAGGATCCATTAAAGATCAAATGCAATTGGAAATTCTTCTCAATTCCAGTATGAATTTAAACAAACACTTTATGAACTTAACATTGTAAAATTTGTTTAGGAAATTTAATGTTCAAGGACACCACTTAAGAAAAAAATTGTTTAATAGGAAAAGTAAGAAGTGAAAAATGTAGAAAAATAAAAACTACTGCGTCCAACTAATGATTGTGTCTGTCCCTTGTCTCACGGGCTTCATCCAGAAGAAGACACAAGTGTTGTTCCTGCTGTGTCCGCTTCAGTTCTTCATGTTCATTCAGTGATGAAATAAGACTTTTCTTTACTGGACTCTTTTCTCTTTCTCTTCACTAGAAAGAAGAAAAAGTGGTTAATTCAAGCTACATACTGTTTTTGAATAAATGCATGAAACAAAGAAAGGTGCTGCTAACAGCTATAATAGATATATTAATAATAATAAACTGATCAAATAAGAAAATGAAAAATAAATTGATTTAAAAATAATGAAAATGATAATAATGGATATATGAATCAGAAAGTTTTATACAGATGCAGATATTCTTTGTCGTTCGCACCACATGTGGTACATGTGGTGGATCAAAATTATGTTCACAGGGTCCCAGTTACATCCAACAATAAAATTTAAAAGGAAAACAGTAATAAGATCTAAGATATGAACTAAGAAAAACATCAACTAAAAATATGATAAGCTCTAATAGCATAAAAACATTAAACACAATACGCAGAACAGCAGCACGGACATGAGTCTGTGTGAACAGACGAGCATGCATGAACACAGCAACATGAAACAGATCAGCAGCAACATGAAACAGATCAGCAGCAACATGAAACTGATCAGCAGCTACATGATGTGATTCTTCACAGTGTTATATATTCATGAGGCTGCACAAACTCAAGTTCATGTTGCTGTTTGACGTATTGTTTTGATTGTTTACTGCTATTAGTGATTAGTGTTTTATTAGTAGATGTTTTTTAGTTGATATTTTTCTTAATTCATATCTTAGATCTTATTACTGTTTTTATTTTACGTTTTGTTGTCTGTAACTGGGACCCTGTGTACATAATTTCATCCCAATTCAGTATTTATTCAACATTTTAGTTTTTTACTTTAAAAATAAAATAAATCAAGTCCTTATCGGCACAAATAAAGTGATGTGGAACAGTTGCATCTGTTCTTACGGAGCACAGAAGCTGCAGCGTTGTGCTGCTCTGTGAGGTGCAGCTGGGCTGTGATGGAGCTCTGTCAGGTGTAGACTCCTCTGATGGAGACCTGTCAGGTGCAGCTGGGCTGTGATGGAGCTCTGTCAGGTGTAGACTCCTCTGATGGAGCAGGAGCCAGGAGGCTTGGAGGGTTTAATGTGGAGTTTAGAGATGAACCATCACGCGCTGAAAGACGTTCTGGATAAAATACAGTGAGAAACGGGACCGGAGGACAGTTAGCATTTATGCAAATTAGCTTAGCATCGTAGCACCGACGTTGTACTATTATGGCGTCAGCCTCTTTTGTTAGTTAAAAATATGTTCAGAACCGATGGGATGAGTAATTTAAAATATGTTTAAAGTTAGAAAACACTCACCATTTTCTATAAATGGTTCAAGTAGAGCAGTAGTCGTGTCCAAACCACCCTCCAATCCTCCATCTAGCTCACTTTGACTTTTTTCGTCGGCCACCAAGCAGAACAACACCTGCACTTCTGCATTTGACCACGGCTTTGATATTATTGTTGTTGTATAGCTTCAAAATACTAAAAGATACACTCCTGTGTTATCGCTAATGGCAAGCGGTAGAGAAAAAATGGTGGATCGGGTTGTTTGGAAAGACTCCACAGACTCCTCCCCCCAACCAATCAGTGACCGACAGTGTTTCTGACGTCACGGCGCGGCTCGCTCGGAATCCTTGAGAAGCCGGGCCAGAATTTAGCGAGGCGAGCCGGTTTCTGGAACAGTGGAAAGACCTCAAACGCGCTTCAACCCGGAAATATCCGACCCGCGCCGTGACGGTGGAAAAGGGGCATAAGAAGGTGCTATTTAAGAGACTGAGCTGAAAACAGCACCTCAGACTGAGGAAGTCTCTTGGATGAGAGACGAAACGTTTCTATATTTTTTTGCTTTGTTTTGTTTTTGTTTTTTTGAATGTCCAGAGGACCAGATGGAACTTTTTTGGAGTTCTCTAAACAAGCTTTTAACCTAACCATCTGAATCAACGACGTAACTCTAAACACCTGCAAAAGATTCCTGAGGCTTTTAAAAACTCCCAGCCTTGTTCATTACTCAAAACCGCAATCATGGGTAAGACTGCTGACCTGACTGCTGTCCAGAAGGCCATCATTGACACCCTCAAGCAAGAGGGTAACACACAGAAAGAAATTGCTGAACGAATAGGCTGTTCCCAGAGTGCTGTATCAAGGCACCTCAGTGGGAAGTCTGTGGGAAGGGAAAAGTGTGGCAGAAAACGCTG